ATAGTCATCTATGTTTAGATAAGAAAAAATGTACTAGATTAACTATGAATGTACTTGATTACCTAAAGACAACTCTCCAGAGACCTATTGCAATTAAGCCTGGACAATCTGGCTGACGCCTCGGACTGGAACTAATTGCGCGGACTTGAAATCCCGTCCAGTCCTCATTGTCGGACTTTAAACATTACACAACAGATTTCTGTAAGATTGTAGCACTTTTAAAATTTTCAGTCCTAGGCCCCTGCTCGTTTTGTTATCGGCTAATTGAGAGACCATTGAGACCTATTTTTGGCTTCATAGGATCCCCAACGTACCAACTGKGTAAGTACTTATGCAAAATCTTATCGCTTGTAGGACTCTATTCACCACTTACGTAACACYAGTCRCTGGATTTCCGTCCGATATTGTCTCCTTATTTACGTCAATACCACCAACAAATTTCAAAGAAAACAACTGGATCAAGAGAAAGCGAAACTCGCTCGCTCTGCAACAAGAAAAAGAAAGGTTAGCTTTGGAAACTGAGCTATGTAGAGTTCATGCTAAAGAGAAAGTTCATTCTGATGTTGAATTCTCTCATGTGAATCCGTGGACCACACCATGCTCGAACTTGTTTTGCGACAAGATTGGAATACAAAAGTCGAATGAAATGTCTATACAGGCGCAAGTCATGTCTACTCCAAATGAAAATAAAAGGGACAAGGCCGTTCTCAAACTTCCTAGTGACTACAGTCGAAAGCTTAACCCAATGTATCTCCATGGCAACCAACGCCAAAGGAACTACAGAAAATKATGCTTGCGTGACAACGTTCGCGTTTATGGATCCCGGCTCAAACAGGACATTCTGTACTGATCAACTGATCAATCGTCTTGGAATCCCAGGTGTAGAAGCCGAAGAATCAGCAAACCTGAAAAATTGACATTACGAAATTGCGCTTCCCTGGCGCATTTTCCCTCCAGATCTGAGTAATAACAAAATTATCGCTGAACAAAGACTGAACTAACTAAAGAAAAGACTTCTGAAGGACTCAACGCTACRCGCAAACTACTCTAAGTTCATGAAAGACCTTGAAGAAAAGGGCTACTCGCAGAGAGTACCAGAAGAAAAGAAAACAGAAGGAACCCCAGCCTGGTATCTTCCTCACCACCCGGTAACTCATCCTCAGAAGCCGGAAAA